ACAGAATACGCTATATGAAAACGAATATCCTGATAGATTTAATTTAAGGAACTTTCAAGCAAAACATAAATCATGCCGAGGTTAACAGCGCCAAAGAAAGAGCTGTTCATTCGGCTACCTTTCAAAGGGGACGCGGCTACCGAGCGTCTAACCAGAAGCCTTTCGGCTGCGGTAAAGTCGACCTTTCCAGCAGCCTCGTTGAAGTGCGTGTTTTCAACGGAACCACTCATTCGTTCACAAAACAAGGACAAGCTGCCGATGCTGACCACATCAATGGTGATTTATCAATTCGTGTGCGCCTGTGGCGCGACGTATATTGGTCGAACGGCGCGGCAGTTATCGAAACGCGTGAACGAACATTGCCCTCGCTGGCTTCGTCAAGGGGGCATCGGAACCATTAGTAGCGCCATTCTGGCCCACATTGTGGACACCGGCCATGAAGTGGATTGGAAACGCGCTTTCCGAATAGTTTACAAGGTTCCACCGCACCGAACGAAAGGTTACCGCCTTCGTATGCTTGCGACAGCTGAAGCAATATGCATTCGATTGTTCCAGCCGTCCTTATGCTCACAGAAGAAGCTGGTCCAGGCTCTCCAGCTTCCCTGGCCAGCGAAGATGGAAGACGCCCAGGTCGACTGCCTTCGGTCAGACGCGGTAGCGAACATCTAGCCCTCTAAGACCTAATTCGTTTTTTCCACTCTGACATTGACCTTCACGTGATCAATTCGTTTTGAACTAACTGGGTCGATTTCTCTTTCTAGCCTCTATATGATTGTAATGGTCTGACGATGAATCATTGAAAGCAATTGCTCACCAGATGGTCTTTTGTTCTAGAAACTTTCCATCACTTGTCTGGGTAAATAACGACGCGACAAAACTCAAGCACGATGTGTAACATCACATCGTCACAACTGGTCCACGAGTGACGGCAAAACCACAACGACTTACCCCTGACAAACTACATGCCGCTAAAAAAGAGTTCGAGCACATGCTCAAGCTCGGGATCATCTGTTCTCCAAGCACTTCTTGGTCATCTCCACTGCACCTTGTGCTTAAAAAGACCGGTGATTGGCGCCCATGTGGCGACTATCGTGCACTAAATAACGCCACAGTTCCCGACAGATACCCAATCCCGCATATACACGATTTTTCGTTAGGATTGGCTGGAAAGTCGATCTTTTCTAAGATTGATCTTGTCAGGGCGTATCACCAAATTCCCATGGCCCCGGTAGATATTGCAAAAACGGCAGTGACCACCCCTTTTGGCTTGTATGAGTTTCTCCGTATGCCATTCGGTCTTCGTAACGTTGCGCAATTTTTCCAACGCTTCATGGACCAAGTTCTCCGTGGACTCGACTTTGTCTTTGTTTACATTGATGATGTTTTAGTTGCAAGTGCTTCTACCGACGACCACTTAACACATCTACGAAAAGTTTTCGAACGTTTCGAACATCGTGGTATCACCATTAACCCTGACAACTGCGTATTTGGCCAAACTTCCATCGACTTCCTAGGTCACAGAATTGACGCCAACGGGATTAGCCCCTTTACTGGTAAAACGCAAGCCATAAAGGATTATACATTGCCACAATACGTTAAGAGCCTACGCCGTTTTCTTGGCATGGTTAACTACTACGGACGGTTTATACATGGCTGTGCTGCAATTCTTCAACCTTTAACTGATTTGCTCAAAGGCAATCCCAAAAGGTTCACGTTCAATCCAAACACCGAAGCGGCGTTTAACACAGTGAAGAAAAAGCTGAACCAAGCTACTTCACTTGCTTACTTGAGAATGGACGACAATTCTACTCTCATTCTCAAGACCGACGCTTCACAATCCGCCATTGGCACCGTATTGCAGCAGTTTCTGGGTAACGGAATGCAAACCTTGTCTTTCTTCTCACGGAAGCTGCAACCTGCCCAGACCAGGTACAGTACGTTCGGTCGAGAGCTTCTTACCATGTACCTGGCTGTAAAGCATTTTCGTCACATTCTTGAGGGTCGACCTCTTGTCATGTTGACAGATCATAAGCATCTTGTGTATGCTTTTCATGCAACTTCTGACCGTCACTCCCCTAGAGAGACTCGACACTGATTATCTTTCCCGATTTTGTGCTGATATTCGCTATATTGATAGTCCTAACAACCTTGTTGCCGACGCACTATCTCGTGCTCACATCCATCAGTTTGCAGTCTCGCACATCAATCTAGAGGAAATTTCTGTTGCCCAAGCCAGTGACCCAGACTTAACACAGCTTCGATCAAACACTTCGTTCAAACTCTTGCAAGTGCCCGTGCTCAATTCTGACGCAAGCATCTACTGCAATATTTCCACCGGTAAACCTAGACCGTTTGTTCCAGTCCCACCGGCGCGCGGTCTTTGACCATCTTCATGCATGATCGCACCCCAGTATTCGATCTACTGTGAAGCTAATTACCGACCGTTACATCTGGCCCAATATGCACACAGACATCCGACAATGGGCCAAAACCTGTCTTAGTTGTCAAACCAAGAAGTTTCGCAGCCACACTGTTACAACTCCTGGTACTTTTTCACTCCCCGAAGCCCGTTTCAAACACATGCACCTTGAAGTAGCAGGGCCGTTACCAGCTTCTAACAGTTTCAATTATCGGCTGACTTGCGTTTCTCGCTTTACTCGTTTTCCCCAAGAAATTCCCTTACGTGATATATCCTCTAAAACTGTTGCACATGATTTCTTTGAATCGTGGGTTTCATTCTTTGGTGTGCCAGCCACTGTCAGTACTGACAGAGGATCACAATTCACTTCCACCCTTTTCCGTGATTTGAGTCGACTGCTCGGTTGTACTCATTTTCACACGACTGCTGCCAATGGCCTTGTGTAACAATTTCATCGACAACTGAAAGCTGCCATTACAGCTAGTTCACCTAATGCCCGTTGGCCTGAACGCCATCCAGCTATCTTTCTTGGTATTCGCAATTCCGTCAAAGAAGATATCGGTTTGTGCCCAGCCGTACTTGTCTTTGGCACAACTCTCAGGCGAGATGATACTGGACTCATGAATTGCCGACGAACTGAATCCTACGTCCTATGCTGAATGCCTAAAGCACCATTTTCGATCCATTAAACTGACTCCACCTCGATTAAGCACGCGCGAGCAGCGTATACATCCTGACTTACACACTTGTCCATTCGTCTTTATCCGAATTGATGCTGTTCGAAGACCCTTGACTCCACCTTATGAAGGTCTATTCAAGGGCTTATCGCTGAAACCGAAATACTCCGTTCTGGATAAGAATGGATCCAAGGCGTCTGTGAGTGTTGATCCACTTAAACCCGCATACGTCGAGTCAACGTTGGATGGTTCAGAATCAATCACTGTCACTCACAACCCTCCTGTGCCTGGGCCGTTGCCCAGTGTCAAACGCCGAACTGATTCCCAGACCTCGGAATCCCTGTGCCCCCCCCCCCCAACAAGCGATGCTATCCACACACGTTCAGGTCATATTGATCCATTCCCCTCCAAACTAGCACAATATGTTGCATGAACGCCATATTGAGCGTTGCTTACCAGCGCAAGCTCTAAGGGGGGAGTTCTGTAGTGGTTGTGATTGCACTATATTTTATCTGTTTTTATCGTTTCCTTTACTGATCATTTTGTAGCATTTGTTTAAATTCACAAATTTTGAATGCAACAATTTCTACTCGCTCGCGTCGTACTGCCTTCGTTTGCTGCTGACTCTGCTTGTGCTGCTGACACGTCTATCCACTGGTCGGATTTATATCTTCGAATTTTTAGACGGCATCGGAATGACATTGACTGAAGGAGGAACTATATCCCGTGTATTGATTTTCCTTTTATTTTGTGTTTTTGCCTAAGATTGTCTTTTGTCCCCGCACTCGAACTCATTAAGTAACGGTCCTTTACACCCCATATCCTGTTTAAGCCTGAAGGAATAAAGCCGGAATGCATGTGGATATAAGCCAGCTTCCATCATTGGAGATGGCCCACACCCCTTCACCAGGCGGAGCGGAAGAATTCAGGCCTAATTTTGAAATCATGCATACCAGACGTACAGCAATCTACTCTCATTATACCCCGTTATGCTATTTCTTTAGCCCCTGGGGCCTTGTGCGAGTTGTGAGTGGATTATTTGGAGCTCCGTTCACGTATCTTTTTATTCTTAATTTTTCTGTTCCTCGGCACTTCTGTGTCTCTCGCTCGGTGCTTATGTGCATCCTGAGTCAGCCGCAGATTTATATGATTATGGTTTATGATTTATATGGTTATGATTTTGATTATGCTTATGATTATATTATTTATATGCTTAGTGTCTCAGTAAACAACCCGAGGCGAACTGCGTCACCAAACTGAACGCAACGGTTGGGTGTGGTGGTGGAAACTACTTGTGCTGATTGGTCGATGTTTTGCGATCCTATATGAATAAGCAGACGGACCTTGGATACTCGCAATGTTGGGCGGACACAATTTTAACGGTACTGTTGTATTGGACTCCTGCGTCTCTGACGTGGTATGATAGTGAACACTTGCAAACGCTTGCATTGTGAATTTACATTAAATAGGCCCGCATATTTTGTAATATTATTAGCGCATCCGAGTATGGGCTTCTGATTTGGAATGCACTATTTATTTGTTGTTAGTAGCGTCTACATTATGTTGAATACGGAATTCGCAAGCCCTTCTCCCCTCACGTGTCACGTACTCGAATTTCCCATCTAACTATACATTAGAACTGTAAGCAGACTTTTAGAACTATTGTTGTTCGCTCTTATTTGTGTCTGTTTCTGTTACGACGGATTTTATGTCTCTGCCACCGGCTTATCGCTTCGAACGCACTATACGCCGCTCTTCATGCACACATTGACTCGATTGCTACTCGGTGTATCCTACCTCGGATTTATGCGCATTAAATGTCGATGACCTGATCTCACTAGCCACCTTAACACTGACTTCTCTCATCTTGGCATAGACTCACTTCACTGTTCCCTGTTTTTCAGTTGTGGGACTTATCCGCTGGTCGTCAACTCGCCGAATTGACTGGTCACGCGGGTCCTGTTACAGCAGTTGCTTTCCATCCAACCGTACTGCTACTAGCGACAGCCTCATCCGACCACACTGTACGCTTGTTCGACTTGGAGAATTTCTCACAAGTGGCAGTCAGTGGTATCGAGCTGGCCGCTGCCACCATCCGACGTATTGCCTTTCATACTAGCGGTGTCTGCCTTTATGTGGCCACTGCGGATTGTTTGAAGGTCAGTTCTAGCACTTTTTCTTACATATTGCTGTGTTTTTCCAGTTAACCCACCACCACTCGGCCTGTCCAGAAGGAATCATTGCCCCTATTTTGCACTCTGCGCGTAAGTACCTTGTTTAAAGGCAATCGGTTTCTCTCTGTCACAACTTTGCTCCAGTACTCATTTTAACTGCTTTCACTAACAGTTTGGACTTGTGGTGCGGTGGTTCAAGCGTTTAATTTGCGATCTCCACTTCATGTGCTCGGCTTCTTGCTTCTGCCGACGTTTGATTGCCACCATAGTATCCCAAGCTTCATACAACCACCTGTATTTTTGCATGATAGCAACACATCGCTTCGTAAACTGATGTGCTGCTATACCCTTTCCTTCGCCAAAATTCCAACTTATATATATCGTAGTGGTTGTCTCACCTAGGCTGCGATCAGTTGCCAACGAGTTTAGTGTCGTTCTGTACGATTCTGTTTCCATGTAAATGTCATAGCTATAAATGGTATAAATACTCTGTAAATTGTCTCACAAACTGCCTCCACATTCACCGTACTATGCGGTGTCTATCTCTACCGATATCCTGGTATACTGGGGACCAGCACTGGGTATCATGCTTGGTATCTGCTTTTTTAACTGTTGGCTAACTTCGTGCATTGTCAATTTATCTTGGTTGCATTTCACCTAAGTACACCTTGCTAACCCGGTTGTTTACTTGACCATGATATCATCACGTCGTTACTCCATCTAAAGATTGCATTCGGAGCCACCTGTTCCCCCAGAAACCTCCGTCCACCTGAGTTCTTCTCAGATGTTGTTCAGGTTTTTCTTATTCGCTTGTCCAGTACAGAGTGCATCTCGAAATCCAGTACTCACTTATAGAGCTTCAGTATTTCATGCGTTCCCTTACTAAGTGCATCTGTGCTTTTTCAGGGTTTTTACGAGTGTGTTTCCGCCCTTCATTTTCCAGATCTACGACCACGAGCCAATGACTTGCATAGAGTCGGTGCATGTTGGCTGGCGAGCAGGTGGGGGTCTTGATGACATGGCAATCGCCCCAAGCTTCAATCAGCTAGTTGGCGCCAGCATAACAAACTCCATGCTTAGCACCTACGTGGTCGATATCAAATCATGTCTCCCGTTTGTAGAGGACCCACAGGCTGAATGTACAAGCTCGGTCTCGGCGTCCGATCTGAGAGTAAACAGCAACCCACCTGACTCTGTTTCTCCCACTATTTCTACAGCGAATGTGACGGAAGTGGGTTTTTGTTATCTACTTCATGATATTATATCATTCCAGTAGGTGTTACTCAGGTCGATTCTTGATGTCCAGACCTCTTTCACACTAGTTATTTTTGTAACTTAACGCCCTGTCGTTTGTGAATCCCAATTCATGTTCGATTTTTAGTGATGAATGGTATCGTGCTCAACTGACTACTCATCCGACATAAACCGCAAGGCAGTTGCAGTAATAAGCCTGTTTCCCGTAGTCCGTCCCAATTCTACGAGCATTTCGGGGATTCGTATAGGCTATGTATCTGTAATCCTGCAATTGCCATATAAACTCAACATTCGATTTCCAAGTCCTCCGACTTATCACGAGAGTCGGAGTCCGTCCCCTTAGTTTTTACTCTATCCCATGGTTTGGCTATGGTAGAGTCACCAAGTAAATGGGATTATCACTTCCCTTTCTACACAGCCTGCTGTTTACCTCGACATTTTCTTTCAACTCTTACTTATGGGCTTTTTTCGATATCCTTTCGTCAATCTGCCTTCTGTATGTTTTTGTGATCTTTCAACTTTCCCCTTAACTAAGCCTTAAAGCATGTCCTTTGAGCCAGAGTGCTGTGGACCATCCCATGCTCATTTTTGGAGTTTCGGTGCCACCGACAGCACTCGCCACATGTTAGAAGAGGTTGCACATAAATAGCAGTTTTATGTCATCTCGGCTTCTTCTTCGCCTTCCGTGAGGCGCGTCCACAGTATTACACATTATTCCACTCCCGCAGGTGTTTCATTCCACCACCGAGCGCCCCTATACCCGATGCGGACCTTCTAATGGCAACTTATTGGCACGACATCGTAAAGGTTTCTGTTTGGATGCTGAGGAAAATGCCCACAACACGTTACGAGTGAGTTCTATTGTCTTTCTCACGCTCTCTTCGCCAATCCTGTTTACCAAGGTTGCCTTAGGACTATGCTCTTCTTACTATACACTTATTACACTTCACACCTGAACTTTAGTCACAAACAATCGATCCTGCACAGTGTTCTGGAGACATTCTTCGCTTTCTTCATATCGTCACCACCCTTCACCACCCCGTGCCTTTCTTTGTACATCCTTTCACTGCATGTATTTAAACTTTTCCATGTGTCACATTGCCGTGGTGGCGCGTATGCATCAGCTGCAAATGCATTTTTCCGGCCAATGCTGTAACGTGTTGCTCTTATGTACCGTGCAGATATTAAGGGGACCACTATCTAAGTTTCACCTCTTTCCATGGCTGGAAACAAGCCACGGTGGTGTGTTATTATCTAATCACGATTTCCCGTGCACACAATGCGCGTCTGGTGTGAATTGAGCGAACAAGGCACAGTATGCAGGACTGTGGAAGTGTTCGTGGCTATAACTATTCATGAATTTATGTCTTTATCTTGATACCTTCAAAATACTCTGTTCACGTTGTATTATGCATATCAACATCCTCGTTTATCATCAGTCTCTGGTCAGTGTGCGTTCTGCAGAGGAGAGGTGCAACGTGACCCGAACGTTCCTAAGTACCGATTTCTTCGCTTCCCATCAGGGTTACTAACACGCGATTGATTTGATTTGATTGATTTTCTCGGTGCTTTCGGTATGCCTGTACGCAGCACTTGCCTCGGTTAGTATTTTTTTCTTTTGGCGTCGTTTTTCTTGTTCTAGCAGGCCGTTTTCTCATGAAAGTTACTAATTTTGTTAAGGTGTTGCCTCCACTGCTTTTGCCTTCCACACTTAGGAGGACTGTACAAATTCTGAATATCAGGTTTCTTTTGCCGAAGAATCGGGTGAGCCTGCCGACATAAACGACCCAGAAGAATACGACCGCATTTTTAAACCTCGTCGAGCAGTTCCGCGAAGCCCCACTCACTCAGTTGTCAAAGATACCAGTCGTTTGGTTTTGAACTGTTCACCCTTTACGGCACCCCAGGAATCTTCCGGGAACACAATTCAGTCAAAAGTAGAGTTGGTTTCAAACTCCAATCGGTTACCATCTGCAGATGGCACTGCTCACGCCTCCTCACCTAATTGTAGCAAGTTTAAATCGAGGCAGTCTGATGAGCAATTCGTTCCTCCTGCATTCCCCTATGACGTCAATTCCACTGCTTCGAGATTAAGTGAGTAGTTCTTGTCTACCGCACGATTATCAACACTAGTTTACGCAGTTTCAGTCGATTGGCTCAGTGGTGCAACTGCCCCATAAATGTAACTACTCGGTCTGGACGGTAAACGCTTGAATCAGTAGATGGAATAACTATTACCACGTGAACCGCTTCCTGCATTCGTATTTATTGCGGGACAGGAGTGACTTCTCGATTACTGATCACGTGATATTGCAATTTGGGGTTTCAGCAAGTGTGACATAGTGAACCGATGAATATTTAAGTGCACTTAGATTATGAGCTGAAATTACTTGAATACGAACGCTTTGTTCTGAGAGTTTAGTTCATTTTTGGAGTCACGTCTTCCAGTCACTATGCGGACTGGGAGTGCTCGGGATTATGCTGATCAGAGTAGGCAACTGATACATTGTCACAAGGAGCGTCAAGTTCTGTTGAGTTCGGAGCTGATATCCACCGTTACGTTTGTTGTTCGCAATACTACGCATTCATTTATGTTTTCTTATTCAACAATGAATTTTCGGTGTCCTCCTTGTAGACTTTCCAATAGTTATTTTACAGCCAATTTATCCTCGAATTGTGTTGTCAGCCACATGTTTGTCATATAAGACCTCATCATCTTGTTGTGTAGACATTAGTTATAGTGGTGACGTTCTTTAACCCTTACAGCCGTTTTTCTTGATGAAAATGCCTAGTTCTTATAGCCAAATTTCCTAGCTCATTGTGCATCGCAACAGTTGACCCCTTGATGTCCAAGCCTGCCTTTGGTCGGTTCCTAATTACTTGAGGTGCAAAATTTACCTTTGCAAACAGCCAGTTTGATGTTTTTTTTATTCTGCGTTAGTGTTTTCTCTATTTCCACATTATGCAACGTATCTCGGGCTAGCAGTCCTTTGTTTTGTGTACGAGCTCAGGCGGTGGCCGAACATTACCACCTTGCATAGACGGCTTCTATGATCGTGCCGGGTAGTTCGAAGTGGCCTCCGATTGTGGAAGTGTTTCGGTGTTGCTCCTCCCAACACTGGCAACCCATACTGTGTTTCCTCTCTTTCATAAGCTTGTGACTGTCCCAACACTGTGGCTCCTTCACCCTAAATCTATATCGTTTTCGCTTTTTCTTACTGTTAACCGCTTACCTATTCGACACTACCTCCACGCAAACTGCAACAAACTTATGTCTTTCAGTTTTACTGTTGATGGCTTTTGACTTCAAAATTGATTGCTAAATTTTACAAATTCCTTCAGTTTCCTTCCCCACAGCATCTCCGTACTTTACCTCCTCTCTTTTTCTCCAAAAAGCTCAAGCTAACCGTTCCCCTCCTGTTTCCACCGACGATTCGCCTACAGCTGATGAACTGGAAGATGTTATGTCAGTAAGCTGCCATTGTATTTGCATCTTCTCTCCTTGATCTTAGTTTAAACGGTTTTGTGCATCATTCGTTAGCCACTTATGCTAATTCCTTTTGACGATCCGTTTGCTGGCCTACCTGATCTCATCTGAAAGAGCCCGGTCATGCAAATCCCTGATTAATAATCGATCTGTGTCTTATTGATCGCTCCACTTTGCCTATATTACCAATGGATTATGGACATGATCCTTGATTCTATGACTTTATCCTGCTCACTTCACCCTTCAGACGGTAGCTGTTTGAAGTAAACCGCGCTCGTTGTTGACCCAACTGGGTAATAAACATCCTTCCGGTTCCTTTGCCTATAGCTCTAGCCGAGCCTAAGAACAATTTAACTTGACGTTAATATATCAAAGGTTGACCAGTGTGAATAAGTGAGGATACGTCAACTATTGCCACAGTTCATTTGGCCTTCACAGTCCACTTCTATCCCTTTCGAACCCAGGTGCCCGCCCTGGGTCGCCACACTTGATCCACCCAGCGAAGCGGAAGTTTGTCTTGCGATTCTATACCTAAAGTGATTCAACCCTGCCGGCTCAGACGGACTTCCTCCGGAGTTGTTCAAATATGGGGCTCAATTATCATTAGCCAGCTAACCTCATTGTTCTCTAAATTCTGGCATGAAGAAAAGGTGCCTTCTTCCAGGGGCGTGTCAGTTATTGTCCCGGTTTTTAAGATGGGTGCTCTCACTTCGTGTACCAATCACCGGGGGATTAGTCTCATTTCGGTTTCCTCCATTCTACTCCGTAGACTATCTCCCATTCGCGATTTACCGTACCGAAAAGAACAAGCTGGCTTCCGACCTGGCTGCGGGTGTTTGGATCAGATATTCACACTCCGTCAAATCCGTGAACACCGCCCTCTTTAACAGAGGCCTACCATCGTTGCATTCCTGCCGCATTCAACCCCGTTGATCAGTCTACACTATGGAGTTGTTTGCTAAGGAACGGTGTCCCAGAAAAGTACACAGCCGTCCTACGCGTACTTTATTTCCACAAGTTGCCAAGTCGATAACAACCTGTGTTACGGCGTGCACACATGACTGCTTCTAAGACTAGCTGTAACAGTGGTCCATAGCAGGATTAGTGGGCGCAGTTGCCTTTGTAAATGATTACAAATACATTGTAGGAACACCCGTGGGTGAGACAACAGTTTTTGCCTGTTCGAAGTATTCACCTGAATTACCAGAGTAAAATGCGTGCGTCGCCACTACTTATCAGCCTTGCGTTTTTTCTAGCAGGACGATGTGGCATGTATATATACCGTAGTCATTGTAGCCCATTTAAGTGTTTCTTTGTTGAGTAATGCCGATTTCATGAAGATAGCATTCCAGTCCATGGACGTAATAGGGAGGTTCCATCTGCATTGACTGTGCTTCTAATGGTGTCATTTGGAGAGCCACTTGTCAAAGAGTCTCAACACGTATGGGCGACCATATGGAAGTAAAGCCTAGTTATCCTATGAATACATAGGTTCCTATGACCTTTACATAATGTCATACATGGGAGACACTGAAGCGATAACTGATTAACAAAGTCGCCCATGGGTGTGGAGACAAACGAACACTCACTAACGTTGTGTCAACGCCACACTTGGAATCCTCATAGTTTGTGTTTAGTCAACAACTGTGATAGAAGTAAGCAAACATAGAACTTTCCTTGTTCAGCTTCAGATTGGTCTACCAACTTCAATGGGAACAATGTCCCCCATGATCGTCGCAATAACAATCGCACAAAATTGTCTAACCGCCTAGCAGCCATTGCTGAACTGCGGAATGCCGGTTAGAAGATTGCCTGTCTACGCCACCATGGTTGGGCCGCTGAATAAACCACCACCAGGTAGCCGCTAGCGATCACTAAATATAGACCGCTTCATGTGCTGATTAGGATATCTGTCCGCACTGGTTACGGCCTAAGATTCCGATCATGTGGTAGTTAGTATCTCCTCCTTTGACAGGCATCACAAGTTGCCCATTGGACGGTTTCAGTTTGGAGACCAATCATCGAGGTTTCCTTCAGATAGGCATCAAACTAGAACAGAAGGTGGTGCTCGACCACTTTCATTGGACTGTCTTTCGCTTATGCTGGGGGCTACTAACCGGTGTCCCATTTGCTAACGTCCCATGACCGATGAGAGTGTCAACAAGGCCAAAACAGCGTTTTCAGCCTTGCTAACTTGAAAGCACTGCACGGGATTTCGAAAATGTGCTACGCTAAAAGCTTGGTACAATACCCTAACATGCGTGTAGAATGGTATGGAAATGCTCGATAGTGAGACCGCTTCCCAAGGGTGGTGATCCGAGTAAATTAGAGAATTATAGACCGATCTGTTTGACTTTTTAACCAAACTTCTCGAGAAGATTGTGAAAAAGTGTCTGCTGCCGTTCTTCGAATCGATGGACGTATTGACGCCAACGCAACATGGCTTTACGAAAGCGCGATCATGCAACAACAACTTGATGTACGCAAACCACCAGTGGGTACGAGCTCTCAACGAAAGGAAGAATGTAATGTATATCGAGTTTAGTAAGGCGTTTGATAGAGTGAACCACGAGGTACTCCTTCGTAAACTGAGGATATACGGAGTTGGTGGCACGTTACTTCAGTGGTTACACGAGTTTATTGTGGGACGAAGGTTTAGAGTACAGGTCAATGACTACCTGACATACTGGTTCCCATCGACCAGTGGCGTGCCTCACGGAAGTGTACTTGGGCCAGTATTTTTTCTTATTCATATCAACGATCTTCCGCAGCAGCTCCAGTCACTATGTGCCCTGTTTGCAAATGATTTGAAAATCTTTGCGAATGAGGATGACTGCGCTCGCCTCCAGCATGACTTAGATCGACTGTCAACTTGGTCCACTGAAATGCAACTCCCTCTTAACGCAAGCAAGTCGGAGTTTATCAGTATCACCAGACGTCCAGCCATTCGATCATACACTTTGGACGACCAGTTGCTCCATCCCAACACATCTGTCAGAGACTTAGGAGTGTTTTCGCGACATGATATGAGGTCACTAGGAAATATAGAGAAATCGTACCCTGCGGTACTTCGTATGCTCTGGGCATTACGACGTAGTTTCTCCACTTGGTCAGAAGAAACCGTCCTTTGCCTATTTACCTCACTCACTGAAACAATCCTTGAATACGGTCTCTCAGCTTACCATCCGATTACCTAGTGGGAAACTGAAAAGCTGGAGAAAATACAACGTATCGCAACTAGAATGATACGGAGTTTACGAAAGCTTCTGTATGAAAAACGTGAAATGCTCAGACTCTGCGCACTATCCTACCGCCGAGTAAGGATTGACCTTATTATGACCCATCGAGTACTACACTTAAATCACTTCCCCATACTGCGTCCAATATTTCACCTGCGGGAACCCTGTAACACCCGAGGGCACCGTTACTCATTTCCCCTGCATAAACAAGGTATCACATCAGCTTTGTATAGAACAAAGAATCGTAAACTTATGGAATTCACTACCAGAAGGACTAATAGAGGCCGATTCTATGAAGTATTTTAAAACCCGTATCGATGATTATTTCGGAAACCTGTGCTTTTGTGAAACGGTGCACATGCAATGGAAAAACTGCGTCCTATACCCGGAACTAATGACACTAATACGAATTCCTAACCGAACAAGGACAAACGATTAACTGACCAAACACTGCCACTGACGATTCGCAATCAAATGCTTTTGATTTTGCGTAACTCGATAGTGTTGTGCAGAAACCATTCTACTTGCTGCTTAATACAGTCTCAGTCTCATCTTCGATCCCAAGGATGCTGGTACAATCTCCCAGGTAGTTGAATTTTTGGATGACTTCTAGCTGCAGTGTAAGCGATCACTTTGTTGGTGGACAGCACCTACGAATCTTCAATCGGTTTTTGCTATTTTTCCAAGGGGCTATTCGTTGCCCATGCTCATCTGTGTTGGATTACGTCCTACGCGTACGACTTGTCTTCCAACGGTATTGTTTATCTTTTACTTTCGTACACGCCGGTTCGCGGAACATGGTACGACTTACAGTCATGGATGAGCCACTCGACATAATGTGTTAGTCCAGCTGCCTGATGAGTAGCGGTGTCTTTAGTTGACGATCACCTGCCATAAGCGATGGCGAATCTGTTGTAACGCTTGGTTCTTTTCTTCTGCTCTCTGCCATTAACAACTGGTGTACTGCTTGCTTTTCTGCGACTGCGGCTGTCTGATTGCTCCGTGACGCACCCAGCCAACCGAAGGAATACAGAAGGCCAGAACTCGGTAGACAGAGAAAGTATGTCTACAGAATGGGTTAACTCTATTTATTGGTAACCGAAACAGGCTAATTTAGGTGGTCAAGATCGCTCACTATTCCGCGTCTGGTTTTCAGCCAGTGTGAGTGAATTCTGCTCCACAGGTTAATCATATTGACGGAATAGTTCGATTTCCTTGACGCGGGCTGGTAATTGCTGGTCGATCAATACTCGTTCGATTCCTAAATTCATCGGAAAGGTCAGAAGTCTTAGCACTCCCGTGCTGACGACCTTTACATGTAGCGGACAGCCTACGTGTTCCGCTTTCGTCTCTATTACCTTCCCTTCGAATTTAGTCTGCCAGCGTACCGTTCGAACTCGACTTTGGGATCAACTTGTTGTCATTGTGGCCGTCTCCGCTTTCGGGTCGACCTGCGTTGTGCATCAGCTGTTGCTTGCAGGTTCTGTTGTGATCTACCTAGCCTCTCATCTTCTTCATCCAAACCAAACCTGTCAAGCTGAATGTCCCACGGTAAGGATGGTGGTGGGTCATACCGTGATTCGGCCTCAGCTGATTGACGTGCCTGACTCATGTCTCATTTACTACCATTAGTTCGTAAATGACTCGGCCTTTTCTGCGGATTACTCTTCCTGTTGGCCACATCCTCAGTCCTCGGAAGTCTCGTGCGTACATCATGTCACCAATTTTGAAATGACCGATCCTG